GGCCAGGGGGTCATCTCAACGACTACTGCTTATCTCGCGATATCTTCCGCGTGAGCCAATCATCGTTCGGTATCTCGACCTCAGCATGGTCGTTGCCGTTGTCGTCGTCGTCGTTGTCGTTGTCATTGTCATCGTCGTCGTCGTCGTGACGTAAAGAGAAAAGCATATGTTAACGCAAGCTCACATTTTTTTTTCTACGATTCGAACCGTCTGCCACATATACGATATTTGTAATTAAAAACACCTCGATATCTTTCATTTCCTGATATAATAATCCAGAATTCAATTTTTAATATTACACAATTTTTAGTGCAAAAAAGAGAAAATATAGTTTCGGGCGTCTATATTAAGCTTGAAAATGTGATCTTATTTCTCTCTTACTTTCTATATCTCTATCGTATTTTTTTATCAATAAAGTAATTTTTATATTTGTATCATTTTATATAATTAATTTTCTTGTAATAGTATTTTATAACATTTTGTTATGAGAGACTATTTTTGGTCTTATCATTATCGCATTCGCCGTACAAATAACTTGACATTTCATTACATTATAAGTGTTCATCGAAAAGGCACGCGATCACATTTCTTTTAGAAAGAATCAATATTCAACTTTTCGATGTCTCCGTTTGCGTTGCATTTGCCGAAACGACGACGACGTCACCGTCCAGAGTTATTATTTTGCTTACGTAAACCCCGCGGTTTATCGATCACAGCCGAGGCGAGCCGATTCGCAACGTAACGTTCACGCAATGTAATGCCCGTTAATTATTTCCCGCGAGATAAGACGAGAAAATTTCGACTCGAAAGAACAAGAACGGTCGCGCGACATGACGATACCGTGTGCCCGCCCTCCTTCGACCACTCTTTCATCCGCGACGACAAGGCTTATCTCCCCGTTCGCGCTATCGTGTTTTGCTATAGTAAATATGCAGCGCGAAGTGCTGTTTTGCACAGGCGTTATACCCGCCATCCATTGGCGGGCATTGATTAATCAGAAGAGAAGCTTCCTCCCTCCCTCGACACAATCGCAAACGAGAACGCGAAAACACAAATGAACGCAGGAGTCGAACGGATTCGATTATTTAACGAGGGTAGACACGTATTCTCTTTCGACGGGGGGGGGGGAGGGGAGCATCCCCGTAACTCGGTTCATCGACATATTATATATATATATCTGTATAATGGGTTTTTATTATCAAATCTTTTTATGAAACTCTCTCGTACCAATTTTTATTCAATTATCTACATATTTGCATAATTTTTAAAATCGACATTCTTAAATTTGCTTACAAGAATATCTAATTGTCCGAAATGACACGTCTGTTATTCTTAAGCCGACATTCCATAGCTTATCGCGAAACTTTGGTAGCTTCTGTCAATTTCTATAACGCCGCAGCAAGACGTAACGTCACTTACTTTGCGATAACATTCGCGCGCGATAGTCCTTATCGCGCAAAATTAGCAATCGCCTGCCAAACCGATTGCCCTTGTTTACTACGCATATATTTCGATGCAAATACACGACGATTACACCCCTGACCTGATTTTCAAGTAAATAAACAGGGTCATCGATTCGTACTTTCCTCAAAAAAGATCTATCACGTATCTGTAACTCCGCGATTTATTTTGTCATAAGTTCGAAAAAAGAGTTATTATTAGCCATTTTAGATTAACATCGAAAGCAAGATTTAAATTCGTGATCTCTGTAAGACAAATGTAAAAGAAAGAGATTCTCACTCTATAAAACAAAGATATATTCACACACATAAGATATATTCAAAAATATATTTATAATCAATAAATATTCAATATATAATATTGAATAAATATTTGATAGAAACTTGTAGAATTTGTCTTATGTGTGTAAAATATGTAAAATTATGTTCTAAGAATTATACCTGCCATATTTATGTATACGTTAGATGAATGTATTAGATAAATCAGAGAATAATATAATTATTGTTATACATAATAACATAAGAAAATATAAATAAATATTCTGTCATTCAAGAATTATATAAAATTTTTCGCTTGGACATCTAGATTTCCACAATCGTACAATAGACGTAATATAATCAGGCCGCAACGCAGCGCACTAGTAATTAGATCAGCGTTTAAGCGATAATCGGCTACCCTATAATTAGATGTGTCAGCTATTTTGTACGACTTTATCGTACGGCCTTTATTGCCTCGATAAACTTGCGCCGCGTGTAATCGTTGTTAAACGGCGAATAGAGTTCGCGCGAGAGCAAACTATAATGATGTAGAGCACGAGCCGTGACCCGGCAGATTACGCATCGCAACTTTGTATAATCGCCATAAATGTCCAATCAAGCATTTTCTCATATTTTTCGAACCCGATGCATTAAAAGAGTTCCCAAAAAAATTATGAATTATCTATTCTTGCAAAATCAAGATTTTTTTCTTTTCTTTTGATAGAAATTTACTTCTACTAAAGAGATAATCGAGAAAGAAAGAGAGAAAGATGACAAGTTCAAAATATTATATTCATTGCCGATTTTTTTCGCGATACTAACTATGGGGCAAAAGAATGATTATCGATATATTTCTTGGTCTAAATGCGAGCGTTCTAAAGTCGCGACCTCCATGGTGGAATTCACGAAGAAGCTGTCGTCGTAGATACATTGGTTTTCGCTCTGAAGCACGCGCAGCCTTCCCGGATTAGCCATCATAACTCTTACGGACGAACGCTTTAAACACCCCGATCCACCCGAACACGAGAGACGCTCGTTATTTCTTGTCTCTTGTCGCAGCATTCGTTCTAGACAGCCTTTGGAGACCCTTTCCTCTCCGCGACACTGTATTTACGCGCTTGTCTTCATAATCACTGTTCTCGTGTAACAATCTTCGGGGTAACTCGCAATGTTTTTAAATGTCGCATATCACCGGCGCGTAACGATCAGGTTGTTGAATGACATAATCGAGAGATTGAATTGACAGAAATGTAAACAAAAACATATAAATCAAAAGCGGTAGGAGAAAGATAATTCTGGACTGAGAAAGGAAGATAATTCACGACATTGCAGATTACCGATATTTTTTTTTTTTTCTCTTTTAACTCGGTAAAAACGAAAGCTCCGTTATTCCATAAACTTAGTGCAAGTATTATAAGACATTCGGCGAACAATTCTAGCAATTCTACTTTCCAATCACGAAAATCATATATTGATATTAGTTTCTTTGTCACTTAACTATCGTCCACTATTTTTAATACTCTATTCTATATTTATTATTTAAAATATCAAATGTAATGTATTTTATTATTTAATATTAAATTTGCAATACTAAATTCGATACGAAACACTAAATATAATATGTTCTCTCTCTCTTCTCTATATGAGAAATATATTAAATTAATACCAACAATAATAAATATGACAGATGACATTAACATTGAATATTGTGAATATTATTAATTTATAAACGTGAAAGTTCCTTTATCCTTTGACTCATCGAATAAGTATCTTGCAACTGTTGCGCGTTTCTGTCTGATAGACTTATCTTCGAGCGAAGGCTAAGAAACTATTAGCGATTATGTCTCTTCACGATGCGCGCGCATATCTACGTAACATACCGGAGACATCGATATCCGTCTAAGATTTCAGCTCTGTAAGAGACCGACGTGCGATTAATCGGACCAAGCGAGAGCCGTGTCGACGAGGTCGTATCTCGGCCTATCTATCCATCCTGACATTCAGCGATTAGCGAATAATAAAGTCCGGTAACACGATCCCGACGATGAAGGAGCTGAGCGCTTATCGCTTTTTCTCTCTTTCTCTCTCTCTCTCTCTCTCTCTATTAATCCTCTTCGTAAATGTTTCTTGCCGACTGTTCTTGACGATTGCCTACGGAAAGACGAGCCTCGGGCAATCGCTTATAGCGATATAGTCGACCACCGTCGAGGGAGAAACCGTCTCGGTATCCCATCGAAAATTAAGAGTGAAAGAAATGCACACCCACACACCACGTGCTCGGATCATTTGGCAGCGATAACGAATCCTTTGATTCGCAAGAAATCTTGGGACCTATCTAAAAACTCTCGGAAAACTTTTAAAAGGAAATATATATATATGATTACAAAAGATATTTTTTTTTTTTTTTGAAAATATTTTTGTCGCGAATGAGATTACTTTATCTTTCATGGAAAAATTCGAATGAAAAAAGTTGAGTTCTATTATTTAATACAGTATGTGTGTAGAGTTTACTTTCGCTCTTTCATATCAGCATTAAACCGACTTATTAAATATCGAGACAAATATTGCTGTACTCGGAATATACCGGTCAATAAATCGTCGACGCGTCGTCGAACGTAAAATCATCAGATTGCCTTTCATCACCGCGAGATAAATGACGAGATATTTCTACGCCCCGCGGAATTATAGGAGCGCGACGACAATTTCGTCTCGGCCAATGTAGAGAAGGCTATATAATCGCAGGGATGAGAGAGATAAAATGTGTGATTAAATGCCGCGCGGAAACATTGGGATTTTCTCTCTTTCTCTCTCTTTTCTTCTTGTACGCCACAAGCCTCTCGCAGTATATCATTCCTTCTCCTTTTCTCTCTCGGGAAAGCCATCGTCGCATCACCGTTTTCTCGCGGAGAAGCCTGACCCTCCCTCGCGACGACACTCTCTCCCGAGACTACAGTTTTGTATTATTAGAACGCAGCCTTTAGCAACAACCCGCTTTTTCTTCTTTCGAAACCGCCGTATGTTTGAGGATTCGTTTAGAAAAATTCGATTCGATTCTACCTTTTCTCATTCAATTAAAATTAAATAGATTTTGTTTAAAAATATTCAAATTAATTCAATAATATAATTGATGAATACATTTTCTCTTTGTTGCTTTTAATCGAGAGGAATTCCTAATAAATAAAATCGAGCGTTTTTTCCTCGGCTCACCATAATGTTTGGAGGTATTTAAGTTTGCAGTCCACAAAAACGCGTGATAGAAATAATGATGAAGAGGACATATACCTTGATGAAGATGTGGTAGGGGCGATGGTGGTGATAGTTGAAACGGCTCCTGTTTGATTTTTAAAGAATGAGGAGAATCCTGCATGCCACTAAGTCCTGTGGTGCCCAGATTGCCATTCCCCTGCTGCAGCTCCTGAAAAGATCAAATTAATTAAATCTCCCGTTCTATCCCAGTTTTCTGCGGATAAAGTAAAGTTTAATCTAAATAGATGAACAAAATATATTGGAAATAATTCTCCTATTCAATTAATTATGTCAATTGAATATTGGAATTCGCAGAAAAATTATATACGACCATGCAATAAAATGACTATTAAACTATTCCAATTAAAAAAAATAATGAAAAAAAATCCAAGCATATATTATCAAAACTATATATTATCGAAATGATTCGTATCATTCAATAGACTAAAATTATTTCGCGGAATGATTGAGATTCGAAAAGGGGAAAATACGGCGTAAGTTTTCAGTAAAGGATGGCGCATCGACGAGATAAATTCACGTCACCCTAAAATATTCTCCTACAATATAGTCGTAATAGAATTCGAGTGACGGAGAGGTAAACGAACCGGGAAATCACCGACAAACGGCGAGAGTAAAGAAATTCCCTTGACGGAGAGAAGAAAGAGAGAGAAAGAGAGAGCGAGAGAGAGAGAGAGAGAGAGAGAGGCGGGTAGGCCAAAAGACTTTTGGCTTGGTGCTTGCGATGTTTGAAGTGCCGTCACCGGAAGCTTATAAACACCGACTCGGTGTTGTGACATCGTATTATGCCGGGGCAAAACTTACGGTCTCGTTAGATCGTTAATTTGCGATCCGGTTTTACGAGGCTCCTAAATATTAGATTCGCGAATCGTCAAGTTGCGAAACATGGTATTGATCTTCAAACTGTCAAAAAGTGGCTAATTAGAGATATTTAGCGATTTATGCAATTTGCCGGATGCCTTTAACTCTTTTCTTTATTCTGTGACATATGACATAAAGAAAATTTCAGTCATTTATTTATGACTTTTATAAAGATAAATAGACATACATGTTTATATTATCTCTCTATTTTTGTTATAAATTATCGTTTTATGTGGAACAACTTCGACTTATTCTTTCAAACATGAATACAAATTTTTTTAAAAAGCTGCTATAGCTACTTGACTATTCAATTATGCTCCTGTTGCACGATGTGATAAATTATTTGATAAGATATAATAGAATATTTCTAATTTTCAAATATAATTTTCTTGAAAATAAAGCATTTTATCAAAAAGTTTGGCGCGAATTATTTTGTTGCGAGTTTCTGTGGCAAAAATAATTCCAAAACCTTATCCCTATTTCCGGTCAGGATTTGCAATGTCATATCTTCTTATGTTTGTTATATATATATATATA